CCAGAACTTTTACAGAACCAGGTCTCCGCTCGAGCTTCCAACTCCCCGCTCGAGCGGCACTCACACAATCCCGCTCGAGCGGCCAATCCCACGCTCGAGCGTCCAACACTGCACAGGAAATACTGGATGGGTGCAATTCCCGCTCGAGCGGACAGGTCAAAGTTTGGGCAACTAGTTTTGGTTTCTAAACTCAACCAACCTGTAACAAACCCGCTCAACACATCCTATAACTCAAATACAAAGTAAGAAAGGATGTAAACAAGATAATAAACAACTACCAACATCCACGGACACATGTCCGGATCACTATACAACAAGGGTAAACCCGGGATCGCTATAGATAATTTTGGTTTGCAGGAGATTTTGAATGAGATAAATATGAAAGTAAAATAGTACCTTAGAGGTGAAGGCGATAATGTTGAGGTATGACACTTCTGTTTGAGATTCTTAGACACTTGTATTTCTTTCTTCTTCTATTGCCCTGAAAATCATATACATTTGCAAGGGTTATGAGATAAAAAATTGAAAGCTCAGCTTGCTATTAGAGAAGAATTATATGGAAAATCTGCGAAGGTTGTTGCCAAGGCCGAGAAGGTGAATTTTATGTAATTTGATGTTCAATCAATTGATTGAGTTCTTTTCTCTAATTCTTAAGTCTTACATAATTTGTAAGTTCAGGTTCATCTAATCCTGATAATGACATCTGCTGTGTTATTTCTTTCTCTTTTCTTTCTTTTTTTTTTTTCCTATGGAATTCTTTTCATACTAACTGCTCTCTTACATTTATGCCTAATAAACTTGTGTTTGTCTTTGTTTTTATTTTTAGAAGAGAGAATTATTTCAAGATTTGGCTCCACTGTTGGTTTCTCTGTTTGTAGCAGATAGGCAAGTTGACACTCTATTTTGTCAAAAAAAAATTGTTTGGAAAAAGTTACTTTTAACTGTGAAGATAATTTCTTTTAGCAATCCCCTCAAACTAATTAAAGAGACATAATAATTTTTTTCTTCAAGGTGCAAGGAAATTTACTTGTAGAAATGAACGAAGTAGTGTTGTTAATTATGGCTTCATTTTTGTAGGCTTCCTCAGATTACAGCAGTGGAGAAAAGAAAGTGGACTCTCAATGACTTTGACATTGGAAAGCCTCTTGGAAGGGGCAAGTTTGGCCATGTCTATAAATTTAGATATGCATAGTTTTGGGTATGTTTAGAAACTTAGATATGCATAGTTTTGGATAGTTTAAACTCTTTGGACAGTTTAGAACTTAAGAATATAGTTTTCGAATGTGTGGAATGTATAAACAATTGTTGAATGTTTATAATGTATGGATGTAGTTTCTTTTTGATGTTTCAAACAATATTTTGGTGGTTGATTGATGTTTTGTACTGTTTGTTTGTAATATTTGTTAGATTATACAAAATTGGTCAAATAGAACCTGCTGAATTTAAAAGTAAAAATAAAAATACATATTCTACGGCAGGCATAATAAGCCATCGTATTACATATTTTATGGTGCGTAATCAGCGTCATTTTTCTCACCAATTAACAGCGTGCAAAAGTAATTGTAGAAAAAGTAATAACGACACACAAAATCTCTCATTAATAAGTTTTTAACGGCGTATTATAGCATGTCGTAGAAAAAGTAATAACAACGTACAAAATCTGCTGTTAAATAGTTTTTAACGGCATGCAAAGCATGTCGTTGAAAGTGAATGACTTTCCATGACTGGTCATAATACGACGTGCGCTGAACGTCGTAGAAGGGTTTTTACGGCGTGCATGGCGAGCCGTAAAAACCTTTTTTTGTTGTAGTGTATAGCTTCCTTTTCATTTGAAGTTGTTATTTTACTTCTACTTTTAAATTCAATAATGGTGACACCTAAAGACATTATATCTATTTTAACTCAACAGTTGAATATGCTTCTTCTTCTTCTTCTTCTTCTTCTTCTTCTTTTATAGTTTATATATTTTATTAAATATATGTTGATACTGGGTTGAAAATTTGAGAAATAACATGTGAATCGTCTTTTATGAGCACCAAGTGTATTGGTTTTATTATTTATTTCTATCAGAAATGTTACTAGGTGATATTTCTCAAGTTTTTACTGTGTCCCTTTTCCTTCATTTCTTTCCTTTTTCTCCAACAGAATAAAATTGTGAATTCCTATATTTACATTTGGTTAACAATACTCACCAACCTATCTCTATTTTGCTAAAAACTACAATCAGCATCTATTTAATGAAAATTGTAGTTTGAACTAAAATTGTTATTCAAACAATGATGTTTGAACATCTCATTATATAGTATCTGCTAGTTCAAATACTGGTGTCAACCTAAATGTTAATCCAACGATGTACTTGAACTTCATGATTCAACACTGCACTATCTTGTCAAGAACTCCAAGTTTTATGAAATAGACCAACAAGATGACTTGTTAAATTGATTGTAAGTTTAAAACAACAGTAAGGGCAGTGTTATACTAAAAAAGTTTCAGGTTCACTGTCAATTAAAAAAAAAAAAAAAACCACAAAAGAGCAGTGATATTTTAACTACATCCATCAATAAAATATAAAACCACATACTAGTTCTTCATCCACTCAAAAATTTAAAAAAAAAAACACATACTACTAGTACAAACTAACAAAAATATAAAAAGACCAACCACTAGTACATCCATAAAAAAATTAAAAAAAAAACAAATAAAAGTAGTTTTAAAAACACAAAAATGAAAAAACGGAAAGTAGTAGTACATCCATAATAACCAAAAACCACATAGATTTGTAATACATCCAATCTCTCATCCAAACTCGTTAAAGATCATTGTCAGGTGGTGGTGGTGCAAGGAAGTAGTGATGGTAGATTCACTGAGTTGATGTTCAATTTGATCAATGCGATTGCTTGTAACCTCATGACGTCTTTCAGTTTTGTTGTTCCCATTGAACGCGTTGATTGTGTTATTCTTGTTCCGTAGTCAAAAAATCAGTCCAATATTGAGGTTATTGACCTGGTGGCATGGCATTATCATGGGAGTCTTCGGGAGCATCATCTGTTAGCGCATTTGGAGCATTCAGAATTTGCAATAAATTTTCAGCGCCGCCAACTCAGGTGAGTGTCTACTCCGAAATCACTGAAGAGATTTTAGTCTCTGTTTCACCTACAAGTCTGATCTTGAAAACTTTGAAAATTTTAGTTAGCAGGGCTCCAAAAACTAGTGATCGGCCAGTGATATGACCAAGATTTGCGACCACCATTTCTTTCATGAGTATGCATGGCGAGCCGTAAAAACCTTTTTTTGTTGTAGTGTATAGCTTTCTTTTCATTTGAAGTTGTTATTTTACTTCTACTTTTAAATTCAGTAATGGTGACACCTAAAGACATCATATCTATTTTAACTCAACAGTTGAATATGCTTCTTCTTCTTCTTCTTCTTTTATAGTTTATATATTTTATTAAATATATGTTGATAGTGGGTTGAAAATTTGAGAAATAACATGTGAATCGTACCAAGTGTATTGGTTTTATTATTTATTTCTATCAGAAATATTACTAGGTGATATTTCTCAAGTTTTTACTGTGTCCCTTTTCCTTCATTTCTTTCCTTTTTCTCCAACAGAATAAAATTGTGAATTCCTATATTTACATTTGGTTAACAATACTCACCAACCTATCTCTATTTTGCTAAAAACTACAATCAGCATCTATTTAATGAAAATTGTAGTTTGAACTAAAATTGTTATTCAAACAATGATGTTTGAACATCTCATTATATAGTATCTGCTAGTTCAAATACTGGTGTCAACCTAAATGTTAATCCAACGATGTACTTGAACTGCATGATTCAACACTGCACTATCTTGTCAAGAACTCCAAGTTTTATGAAATAGACCAACAAGATGACTTGTTAAATTGATTGTAAGTTTAAAACAATAGTAAGGGCAGTGTTATACTAAAAAAGTTTCAGGCTCACTGTCAATTAAAAAAAAAAAAAAACCACAAAAGAGCAGTGATATTTTAACTGCATCCATGAATAAAATATAAAACCACATACTAGTTCTTCATCCACTCAAAAAAAAAAAAAAAAAAAACACATACTACTAGTACAAACTAACAAAAATATAAAAAGACCAACCACTACTACATCCATAAAAAAATTAAAAAAAAAACAAATAAAAGTAGTTTTAAAAACACAAAAATGAAAAAACGGAAAGTAGTAGTACATCCATAATAACCAAAAACCACATAGATTTGTAATACATCCAAACTCGTTAAAGATCATTGTCAGGTGTTGGTGGTGGAAGGAAGTAGTGATGGTAGATTCACTGAGTTGATGTTCAATTTGATCAATGCGATTGCTTGTAACCTCATGACGTCTTTCAGTTTTGTTGTTCCCATTGAACGCGTTGATTGTGTTATTCTTGTTCCGTAGTCAAAAAATCAGTCCAATATTGAGGTTATTGACCTGGTGGCATGGCATTATCATGGGAGTCTTCGAGAGCATCATCTGTTAGCGCATTTGGAGCATTCAGAATTTGCAATAAATTTTCAGCGCCGCCAACTCGAGTGAGTGTCTACTCCGAAATCACTGAAGAGATTTTAGTCTCTGTTTCACCTACAAGTCTGATCTTGAAAGCTTTGAAAATTTTAGTCAGCAGGGCTCCAAAAACTAGTGATCGGCCAGTGATATGACCAAGATTTGCGACCACCATTTCTTTCATGAGTATATACCATAAATTCAATTGGTGTCCAACTTCAAAACAATATAACAAACAAGCATTAAAAATTGGAACAACATCAAAATGTCCTCTTTTGGGAGTAACATTTTCTATTATAAATCGATAGAGAATACAAAGATGGGGTTTCAAATGTCTTGCTTATAAATTACTTCCTGTAAATCTACTCTCACAAATAATAGTATATACTTCACTTATGTTGCCAACAATATCAAGCAGGTCTGACTCACTGTGAAAATAGACTTGCATATCCCCTTGCTCAACTCTAATAATTTGTGCCAAAGCAAGGATGTCAAATTCAATAGATTTATCTATTACATAAGATATAATTCTAAAGTCTCCATCTTCAGTACATTTCAAGTGAACATAAAATAGAGACACAAGACAAGGATATACCTTTTGTGGTAAATTTATTAAATTTAGCCACCCCATAGTCTCAAGTTTGGTAACCAACAGAGGATCATATTGAGGAGGAAGATTTAGCCTTCTCCCGGAGACAATAGGTCGACTGCAGAATAGTTGAAAGGCTTGTTCATGATTATAAATAAGAAAATCAGTAGTTGGATAAGCTGAAATTTGAGGTTGTTGTTGGCATGGTGGAGGGTTTGAGGTCTGTCCAAGTTCTGGTCTTGCTCTTTTGGTTCTAGGCATGACTTTGTGAATATATGTTGAATTTGATTGGGAGAGGTAAATGTGAATGGTGAATTTTTAGAGGTGGTAAATTTCAGTGTGAGGTGACCAAATAGTGTGAAAAAGAAGTGCAACAGAAAAAGGATGAGGAAAATCGTAGCCTAAACCACTCGGAGCTCAATTGGAATTCACAAACCGGGCAGGTTGATCGGCCGGTTGACCCCAGGTTGACTCCCCAGTCGACTGGTTTTGTGCAGAATGGAATTCTTGTGCTTTCGGTTTCTTCTTCTCAAAATGATGCACACTTCCTTCAACTCTTTATGAAATTCACGGATATGAGCTTTGTGAACATATACAGTCCATTTTACATGCACATTTTAAATGAGGTAGGTGGTGGAGGGAAGTAATGAGGTGGTTCAATTTGTATAATGAAGCAGTTTGATGGTTGTATGTGTAAATGATGCATTCATGAAGATGATGAAGTTTACAGGCTTTTAAAAGTCATGCAAAATAAATATTCACACTTCGATG